CTATATACTCAATAACACTAAATCCAGAATAATTCGGCTCCGCATTTTAATAAAGCTTTATTTATATAACTATTTCCTTTTACATTATTAATGTAATGTTTAGAAAAATAACTTTCGACCCGTAAAGATAAATCATATGCAGAACCGGCATAAATTTTCCCTGAATCCTTATGTTTCCACTGATAAATACCAGCCTTGCACTTATTATCAGATAAATTTTTAGATTTCTCTGATTCCGCATTAGAGTAAATCATTACAGACACAAAGAGGACAAATTAGGATTAACCTTATCAAAAATTAAGGATGGATCTATATGTTTATTTATACAAAAACCTCTATGAATAAGAGAAGACTTTATAGAAGATTGATTTATAAGATTAAAAACACTAATATTAGAAGTATTAAGAAAACCAGACATAAATATTGTTAACCCCGGGCCGCCCCCGGCGGGCCGGGGGCGGGCATAAAATAATATATAATAACCAAAAATTAGCCTAACATAGCCGTAAAATTTATTTTTAAGAAAGCTACGCCGGCTTAAGTTATAAAAAAAAATAAATTGCGATTAACAAATTTTATAAATTGAAGACTTGAACAAAAAAGATTTAATTGCTTTAATTTAATGGTCCTTTTATGTAGAATATAGTATTAATGTTAATTACAAAATAAAAAAAGGCGGAGCCGGTCAAGATTTTGTTTATCTTTAGTTAATTTTTAATTTAAATGATCCCTTTTTTAACAAAAAAGAATCGGGCCCGCATTGTTAATAATAAAAATAAATTATAAAAAGGGCCCTCCGTCAAGATTTTTTATTATCTTAGAATCCCGGGCCGCCCCCCGGCGGGCCGGGGCCGGGGTTTATATATTTTAGAATATTGCCAATAAAGAATGGTTAACCTGAATATATTGTAAAGGTTCTCTGGCGCAATTAATTTAATCAATAATAGGCGGAGCCGATCAATTTATTCGTAACTAAACAAGAAGAACCCCCCCAAAGGAAATCTATTAATAAAAAAATCAGAGAAATGAAATAAGAGAAGCTAACGGTATTGTGGGCGGCGCAAAGTGACTCGAATCTAGGTGAGTAGAGAGGTAGGATAAAAATTAACCAAGGAATAATGGGACTTCCATCTTTTAAATACCTAAAAGGTCCGCTGTTTTACATTAAACTATTGATTAAATTTTACCCTAATTATGAACCACTATTAAATAATGATGAACCACTATTTATTTAATTTAACCAGGATTTAATATATAAGAATCTTTTTTTTTATGCCTCTATTTTAAGCTAAGACGGGGTAATAAAAGAATATATTAAAAATCCTAAGAATTTCTTCAAAACTTAACAATAGTGGTTCAAATCCATTCAAGTGTTTTCTACGCTTTCCCCGTTCTTATTTATAAAAAAAAACATAAACAACCATAAATTAGGGGGGGGGGGGTCAACGGGTTTTATTCTAGATATTATCTTTTAATAAGCTCCCCCCCCCCCCGAAAAATTATATAACCAGGAAAATACTTTTATGGTATTATGTTTATTAAAAATTAGATAATGATAGTTCAATTCTTTCATTCTATTAAAATTTCTGGTAACTTTCGGTATATTAGATGATAAGTATGGTCTCTCTACAACAAAATAATGTTGTTGGTCTCACTGTTTTACTATTTTGTGGCTCTTACCGAATAAGGTCCATATTTTATAGGCCCCTTTTTATATAAAAATATGGGAATCCTATAAAGTAAAACAATTATTGGTTCAATAGAGATAAAGAAATAACAATAAAAATAATATGATAATTTATTTATTAGAAGCATTAATTGTAATAGGACCTTTATTGGGTTCTATAGCTTACGTTACAATTGCTGAACGTAAAATAATGGGATCGATGCAAAGACGTATCGGTCCAAACAAGGTAGGTTACTTTGGTTTATTACAAGCATTTGCAGATGCTTTAAAATTACTAGTTAAAGAATTAGTATTACCTTCAAATACAGATAAAATACTTTTTGTATTAGCGCCTATGATTTCTTTAGTTTGTGGTTTATTAGTTTGGACTCTAATACCGTATGGAAAAGGTTTAGTAATTGCTGATTTTTCTTTAGGTATTGTAACAATTTTAGCTATATCTTCAGTAGCAGCTTATGGGATTATATTAGCGGGTTGGGCCTCAAACAATAAATATTCATTTATAGGTTCTTTAAGAGCTACAGCACAATTAATAAGTTATGAAGTAGTTTTTGGCTTAATAATTTTATTAGTAATATTTTTTGTAGGTTCATTTAATTTAACTACTATTATAGAATCTCAAAAAGCTATTTGGTACATTTTTCCTCTATTCCCTATCGCCCTTATGTTTTTAATAGCTATACTGGCAGAGAGTAATAGAGCTCCTTTTGATTTACCAGAATCAGAATCTGAATTAACAGCAGGGTTTATGACAGAATATTCTGCGTTTCCATTCGTGTTCTTCTTCTTAGCCGAATATGGTAGTATTGTGTTCTTAAGTACTTTATCTTCTATACTATTCTTAGGAGGTTATTTAGTACCTGGGATTGAATCAAATGGTTTAATGACAGGGTTATCTCTTGGATTGAAAACATCATTCATGTTATTCTTAATAATCTGGATTAGAGCAAGTTTCCCGAGATTACGATACGATCAGTTAATGTCAGCTATTTGGTGTAACATGCTTCCTATCGTTATTGCGTTCTCAATTTTAATACCGTGTATTATCAAGGCTTTTGATATTTACACCCCCCGAGTTATATAAATAAAACGATGATATACATTAACAAAAATTTTAACCATTTTGCGATAACTAGAATTAATTCCATTGCTAATGCCCGGCCCGTCCCGCAAGGTAGAGCAGGCCAAGGCTTTCTGTAAATCTTAATTTTTCTCTCTATAAGAGTGTACCTTAAAAGTTAACAGTCCCCTAATAGAACCTAGAAACATAAGATTATTAAGCAAGTGTCTTTTACTAATACTGGTAAGGGTATGCAAAGCCTATTGATTTAGTGGCCTAAAATATCTAATTCTTTTTAATTAGGAAAATATTAACATAATGGTCATATAATTATTATGGGTTAGTAGTAATACTAATGAGAGTTCAAGTCTCTCCTCTGATATTCTTCCTTGGTTAATTTTTATTCTCACCTCTCACATAGATACGAATATTTTTTGTGTCGCCCGATGATACCATTAGCTTCTCTTTTTGCTCTATTATATAAACAATTATTAATAAATATTATATTCCCTAGAGACCTATAATAATATATTTAGTTGTCCCTGGTCTTTAAAACGATCAGGGTCGACGAGAGCCCTTTGGCCCTAGTAGATCATTTTATCTATATGGGTGTAATAGATAGGAGGGGGTGTAACTCTATGATTAAATTTATCAACAAAATGTTAAGGCGGCTAATACCCCTACCTTCTTCTTGAAGATAATTTTTCTTGCTAGTAATTAGTTATTGGGAAACAGCGTCCTCAATGCTGCAGAACCATGTTAGAGGGCCCTAAATTCCGAGGGACATGGAGATAAGTAAGGTAATTCTTTGAATTCAAAACCCGAATTTATGATAATAGGATTCTAGCTAAAAATATTGATAATAGTTCTATGGTATTTAACAGTATTAAGGAAGCAAGTTCTTTAAGTGTCATACCGATACAATAAGTCGACGTGTTAACACTGATAGATTATATCTAAATAAATGGGAGTTCACCACTATTTAATTATATTAATCAAAGGTTATATTGTTTCTCTTATGCAACCTTGCATTAAGTTTTATAATATGCAACCTTGCATTTAGGATTAATCACATCTTCGGGTTATTCTTTATCTAATATATCTATAATGCTCATTAGTGTTATAGATAGGGTTAGAGTTTATATAAAAATCCCTTGAAAAAGCTTTAAATTAAACACCCCCCCCCCGTAATACAGTGCCTCCCCTTTATTCTTTTTCTTAGCAGAGTTTGGTTCAATAGTTTTTTAAGAACTCTTAGTTCTATCCTATTCTTAGGAGGTTATTTAGTACCTGGGATTGAATCAAATGGTTTAATGACAGGGTTATCTCTTGGATTGAAAACATCATTCATGTTATTCCTTAGCTAATAAAGCTTTGGTCTTCAGGTCTGTTTTTGAGAAAGAACAATTTTAATGGGGGCCTCCGGGGGGGGGGGGGGGAGAATAATAATTTATTGAGAATGATCCCTCCGGGGATTTAATTTATTTTTTTTTATTACCTACTGTTAATTGTGACGTAGCATAACTTTAGCAATATATTCTCGAAAATTATTTGTATATCAGATAGTGGAATTGTTTATTTCAATGCAGACTGATAAAGCCCGATTAAAAATCCCCGTTGGACCCCTTAATTCCTAGAACAAATTATCTATAACTTACCAAAGACTAATTAATCTGTAACAAGTTTTAATTACTAGACCCGAGGACTAGTTTATTACATTTATATTTAATTTTATTATTAAGATTTCGGGGGCTAATTTTATAAAACCTAACTTTGTTTATCAAATATTTTATATTTAATAGTCAGTAATGAACTCATAAACTCTTAAAGTCTTTATAATTTAAAGCCCCAAATTTTTTATTTGATTTGGGCGAAAACAAGGGTTCGAACCTTGGTATATAGATCCACAATCTACCGTTCTGCCAATTGAACTATAATCGCCTTATTAACAATATACTAATTATTGCCCTTTTTCTTAAAATCATTAGAAAAAAGGGAATTAATTATTAAGATATACGCAGGGATAAATTTTTCTTATATAACTAGTCTTACCTCGAGAAAAAGCTATTAGTATTATCATTACTAAAAACTAATTAGGGACACTGTGAAGTGTTATTGTACAGGTTATTGACCTTCAAACGCATGAAAGCCAAACATTAAGTTTTGGGAATAACGGAGGGATTTAATTCTGGCTACTGAAGGTCTAATCTCTAAAACTAGTTTTTACTAAAATTCATTTAGCTTAACTGATAAAGCACTCGAATGGATTTGAACCATTATTGTTAGGTTTAGAAGACCTATACTTTTTCCAATTAAGTTACAAGTGCTTATTATTTTTACCAAATAGAGCTGGTCCTGAACATAATTTATAGAAAAACTAAAGTTTCACATTAAGCACTACCGCAATATGATGCCTTGACGGGCCTTGTGGGGGTATTAAATTATTTGTTATTACTCTAAATAAAATAATGTATTTATGTTAATTCCGGCCGTCCGTACTTATGCGGGCCGGCACGGGGACAAAAAATAATTAAGTAAAATTTTATTAAGTGTTTCTATTATTGGCTAGATAATAACCTAATATTGATAATAACTATTCCTCCGGCTACCCCCTAGATATTTTTATCCCCCCCCCCAAAGAATCTATGAGTATTCTTTTATTGATAAAATCCATTGTTCTTTAAATAACTTGGTTTATCTACATATTTAAACAATGTAGGGGCAATTAAAGCATAAAGACACTTCTGTTTATTATCAAAAGCCGGAGCCCTGCCTCCGGCCGGCCCCCGTTTTAATAGTTTATCAATTGGAATGGGATCAAAAATACATTAATCCCCGTTTTACTCAAGGCTTTAGAAAATTTAAAAAAGCAATTCCGCTAATTAAGATTGTTGATAAAGAGAAACTAAGGGTATCGTAAATATAGTTATAATTTTTAATAGTAACCCGGTATTATTTTAATATCTTTATTTTTTGAGGCCCCGGTACTTTATAGCTAATTATCCCTAAATATTACTTTCCCATAAAGCTGAACCTTAGATATCACGAAGCTGAACCTTTATATTTTAGAGCTATGTACTACGAAAGGTATTAAAACTTCGAAATAAAAATTGTGTGCACAAAATTAATATTGATGAAAATAATTATTATAATTAAATTAATTATAAAAAAATATACTTGAACTATCTTAGAAAAATAACCTTAATCTAAATGACCTTAATAAAAATTGATTATGTTCTTATTATATTAATATAAACATTTTCAAGTTGGGGGGGGGGGGGGGGGGCCAACGGGGGGCGGTGGTAAAATTTAATATTTTTCAATTTACCTTTTTAAATTTTGCCCTGAGGTTGAATCGAACAACCGTCAAAGGTTTTTCAAACCTCTACTTTAACCTATTAAGCTATCAGAGCTAATATAATTTATCCAAAAAAAGAATCGAACTTTTTACTAATTTATTTAAACACGAAACATTTATAATGTAATAAACTTATTTATTATTTTAGGTAAGCTACTACCTTATAATATAGCTGGGTCAGAGGGGGTGTTAACTGATTTTTCAGATAATTCACCTATAATACATGGAACGTTGTGATGTATTCTCACTCATTCTTTCAGTTTTTCTATACCAATCTGGGTAACGTTTACATAGAAAGCTGACCGATTTATGGATCATTTTCTATTGATTAAATTAACAATATTAATTATATATAGTAAATCATTATCTGAAGAGTCTTTGTTTGGGCTTACTAAAAATCTTTAGAAAAAGATAAATACCATTGTGGCTCCGCATTGAAATAATTCCCCAGTTACAATCCCGGGCCGCCCCCGGCGGGCCGGCCCCGGATTTTCTGATAGTAGGGTGAGAACAATTAAAATATATCGCAGCTTCTCGAGCAGAAGATTTATTTATAAAAATAAGATCCTTTGAATATACATAAATTGCGGCTCCTTATGTTGCACTAAATTTAGCTCGAGTTTCAGCAGAATGAATAAAACCGGCTGCGCGTTTTACCAAAATTAGGATTTTTCTAACCTAAGTTAGCATCACGAAGTTTTGCTTTAGCCTCAGTCTCTTAGGGCCTGTGCCCGCGGGGGGGGGGGGGAGCCCCGGGGCTCAGAAGTAGTTCATATAAGGGCCAACTAATATGGGGGTCTCATACTATTAAGTTTTTGTACCTAAATAACCGAAGTGAGAGGGAGTGTTAAAAAGATTACTTTTAACTAATTATTGCTCTGTTTACCTTCATAAACCCCAACACAGATAGTATATTGATGACCCCTACTATTATTTATGGTTATTTTTTAGAAGTAGATAAAATCCATTTTGGCTCCGCCTTTAAATATTTTCCCACTCTTGATATGCCTAGAAATAGATATAATGCTGCGATAAAAATGTTTCGCAGCTTCTGTATAAGAGACAAACTCATGAGAAAGAATAGTTGGAGTAGAACTTGAATAAACAAATACTTTCCTACTAACAGGGGTATTCTCTCCTGTTCGAGACATATTCATCCCCCCTTTAGTCTCTTCAGAGAGTGATTCCCAAAATTGAAATGATTTTCACCAGTCATAGCTTTACTTATTTTAGCCCTAGTTTCAGTTGAATGAGAGAAAGTTTTCCCAAAGTTTGGATTCTTCTCACCAGACAAGACTTTACTAATTTTTATTCGAGTTTCCTCAGAATGAGTTTTACCATAAGAAGAATGATCTTTACCATAGGATGATTTTTACCAGTTTTGGCAAGACTAAACTTAACTAAAGACTCTTCTGAATGTTTAAATCCCAGAGTAGATCCTGCTGTTTTCGAGGTATTATAAGGTGGAGTAAGAGAATCTAAATAAAACTGTTCGGCTCCGCCTTTCAAGAATATTGTCAATATCACAATACTCTAAATTATATAGGGTAAATTCCCCGTCTCTAGTCTATTTTTTAGGAGAGCTTTATGTATTAGCAATCCAGTATTAGTTAAATATTTTTCACTATAATTCTGAGAAAATCTTCTTGATAAATTTACTGCAGAACCAACATAGTATTTTTTATTGATTGTATTAAACCATAAATACCCCCGGCCGGCCCGGCAACGTCCTCGGGCCCGGGGACTTATTATTATTTTCTTTGTAAATTAAATTTTTTAGATCCAGCACTATTTAAATAAACTTTTGCTGGTTTATTGTCAATAAGCCATTGTTTAAGTTTAATATCTAATTCCTCATTATTTAGAACTTCATTATTTGGAATTTCATTAATTTTTAATGGGCTAGAAATATGATAACTCTTGAATTCTCCTAAAGTAGAATCTAAACTAGGTAGAAAGTGGGGGGGATAAAGGCATAACTCTTTTTAAAGGACCTATGAAATTAAAGTTAAATTTAAAGATTGCCATTTTATTTTTTATTATAGTCTACCCCCCCCCCGGGGGGGGGGGGGTGGGCCGCCCCTGCGGGCAGTCTGCATATTTAATCTATATAGCTGCGCAGTAAGCTAAATAGATGTATCGTCCTAATACATGGACCACTACGACTGCTATTACTCTACCCGTAGAACCATTCTCTGGTTTGTTTATACACCTTGAATCACCTTACCTCCGGCACAACGATACCCTGGTACGGGCTGCTACGCCTTTATCTTCTTCTCAGGGGGGGCCTTAGGCGATGCTTAAGAACCCGTATAAATAGGAATAATTAACACATTAGAAGTGTTAAACCAAACACCTCTTAAAAATTTTATTAGTATTTTGTATTAATTTATTTCGAAGTTTCGATTCATGAGTCATCCCCGGCCGTGGGCGCCGAGGCTTACCTCTATTATCAGATTAATACACAATTTATCTGTATAAGCCTTTGAATAAACTATTACAAGAATAAATAAAAATTAAGCGTTATGAGCTGGATAGCTTAATAGTTTGAATAATAAGATGCGAGCAGGGTATAACCCTTCCAATATTTCTATTAGTAAAGCACTAAATTAAAATATTTAAAAGGAAAATCTAATTAAGATTGTTGATAAATAAGAGAAGCTAATGGTATCAATATTACTAAAATTAATAAATCTAATTTTGTTTAAGTATTTTTTATTTTAAATATGAGCGTAAATAATTCTCATAAGATTTAAACCATTCTTCATTTAAAGGAAAATCCCAAATACGCGTAAATATAGAAGAAATTTCATGAACTTCCATTTCAGCATAGATAATCATATAAATTAGATTAATTTCTTGTTTATACAAAATATCCCAAATATGTAAATCGGCTGCGCGCTGCTTTTAATAGAATCCCGGGCCGCCCCCCGGCGGGCCGGGGCCGGGCATTTGAAAAAATGATAGATATTTTCTAGGTCGTTTAGGTAAAATGCATCATTACCAAAAACAAGCGATAATTCATAAAAATTTTTAATATTAGGTATTTCAGGGAAATTCGGGATTCTATTTTTTTTGGAAATATACGGGGGCCGGCCGGAGGCAGGGCTCCGGGCCGGCTTTAAATATAGTGAAATCTTTAAATTTAGTTAAATCTAAGTCTAATTTATTTATTAAATCTTTTAATTTAGTTAAATCTAAGTCTAATTTCTTAAATAAATCAATACACTCTAAAAAAACTCCTGAAAATTATTACTTATATATAAATATAAATTTGATATAAAATACAATAACAATACTAGAGATTATAAAAATTTAAAAAACTTTTTTAAACCATAAGAAAAGTTAATGAAATAAAAAATTGCCCCTGTTACCTAAATTTGTTTCCCTTTCTGTGAACATAGAGGAAACAAATATTTAAATTATATCAAATAAAATATTATAGGACCCAGAGGGGGGTGTTATCCTACTTAGCCGTTTTAGTTCCTAAGTCGAATAACGTGTTTTCTAATACACCTACTGCTGGTAAAATAACCAAGAAGTAAGAGAAATAGAATACTGTACTAATTTGACCTATTAGTACCAAGGGTTCTTCTGGATGATTAGCTCCGATCCACAGTATTATTATCGATAAAGTATTTAACTCTACCTTCCCAATGTCACCATTGGGCTTAGACTATGTTTTCAACCAGAAAAATCCCACTGGTTGTAGGGTGCTCGTGTCAGGATTATTGTTGGTAGTACTCACCTGTTAGTCGTTGAACGTTCTTGATTCATTTGTTAATAAACAATGTATACCGAATCAAGCTTCGCTGCAAATTGAGTTTATTAAATAAACTTGTTCTTGCAATTCACCCTATTTACATTAAAACATTACTGGTTTAAGGGGCTTTTTTAACCCAGGATTAGGAAGTTAACTACAAATAACCAGTAGAAGAATTTCATAATCGGCCGGAATTGCATTGATCT